AGTTGCTATTAATTTTTCTTTTAAATTTTAATGAAGTGTTCATCCTGTGATGTTCATAATGTTGTTTTAGTATCTACTTGGATGTAATCAGGAATAATTCCTGAAATAAATAAAAACATGTCCAAAGTGTTCTAACACATTTACACTTTATAAAACTAATGGAGCATTTCCAACAGCCCATATACTTTGTATCCGTCTCATCTTCACCAAACACTTTGACAAATTCCTGATGCATGACCTTTAGTCAAAGGTCACATCTCTGTGCATCGCCCAATTATGTGAGGTTGCAGAGACGTGTTTCATTTCATCAAAACAGTAATGGAGGAATATTAAAACTGAAAGCAAGTGTACCGAGTGTCTGATCCGTGTGTACAAAATTCTCTGCTACAGGAAGTGGCTGATTTCTAGCGTGAACATTCAATCAGCTCCCCAATGTTTGAGTGGCAGTACCCTCTAACCCCTCCGTCAAGTATACCCTCTAACCCCTCAGTCAAGTATACCCTCTAACCCCCCAGTCATGGTGGTCTGTCGGCAAACACCATTCTACAGCAATCAAAATCAACCACTAGATAAATCAAAAGAATACTGTTCAATGGAAATAGACTCAAGGAAAATTATCCCAAATTTCAAAGAATTTATAGAAGATTTATCATCTTTGATAGTCTTCCCATAGGTAGGGATTTTGCACTGAGTTTGCATACAAGACTATTTATAATAATAATAAGGTTTTATAGTCCTGTTAAAGGGTGATTTATAACAATGAAGAATGGTGTTAAAAGTCAAACAGACCACAGACCAACACATTCCAGTATCTATTATAGAGCTCTGTCAAACAAGTACTTTGTCAGCAGAAGGTTGTACACACTACAGAAATAATTAGAAGCTTAGATAGGAGAAGAGATTTTGAGATGGAGGTCTCAATGATGACCAACTGAGACAGGGTCTCTTGTAGGGTGGACTCCACACCCTCTGTACTGGGCTGTGTAATGTATTCCCTATGGCCCCATTGTTTACTCCACATTACATAGTCATCTCTGGCAGGTATATGAATCACTGGCAAGGATGACAAAATATGTAGAAATTTCTAACAAATAATAAAAATAATCTGTCAAAGTGAAACATTTTTCAAAATCAGAGCCAATGGCAATAAAAGCTTCTAAGGAATGTCTCCTATGTTGAATTTCAAAGACTTCTACTCAGTAGTGGGGAACAAGTGAGAGGTTTCTCTTAGCTAACTAACACCTGAATTCAATCATTTTTCTTCCTCCACACTATCAGACAGCCATCTTAGCCACAAAGTCAGGCGTTATTAAATATTCATACAATATTTGACACTGACAAGCAGGAGTAGCCTATGCCGGGGAGCTTGCTCTCACAACACCTGTACTTCCCTCAGACACCAACAAAATTGGCGAATGAATTACATTAAATGTATGTTCAGAAGAATCACTCCTTGGTTCTGACATGTTTGATTAAGCAGTGGAGAAAACACTACTACCATAGCAATGATACTTGCACACATCTGAGACTTGTGATTCTTTATCTCTATATATTTACATGCTTGCTGTTTTATGCTCACTTTTTGTATAATTACTGTCTATTTGACGCTAGATATCATGTGCCAAAGCTTAGGCCTTCATCTTTATTTTGAGAAATCTTGAAGGACTTTTGCACTATATCTGTGATGGAACTGGACCTCAGCTTGACCAAGTGCCAGCGCCTGGCAGCACTATCCTGCCTGATCCCATCAGTAGATACAGAAATAATGTGTGTAATTAAGTGGTCTACACAGTATACACTTAACTCTCATTGGCATTCATCACAAAAATTACATGTATCAAAATCCCACACATCTGTATAGCTGTCTCCTTAGACAAACTGCCAACAACCACCAAACATTTCATAAGTATGTAATATTATAAAGAATACACCACCAGAAAACATCTTAAAAATATCTATAAAGTTCACAAAAATCATGTACAACACAAACTTCTTCATTTTTTTTAACTACAGATTACATTTGATTAACTACAACTTGACATGGAAATAGACACTCTAATGATACCTAAAGAGGATCAAAGATATTTCACAAGAATGACATATATTGGTAGACATGTATTCTATAATTGGACCCAAGTATATATATGTCAATTGAAATCTAGTAAATTTTCTTTTCATTACATATTTAAAAGAAAAGAACTTCATCAAAACTTACATCATATTTAAATGACAATGTGAGACAAGACATCACTGTTCCAGAATGACTGCTGATCTTCACACTTTTTGTAGTTATGCAAATGTATGCTTAAATCAAAACCACGTTAAAGCCAGTAATGGTATAATAAAACAACCACTTGTCCAACCATAACTTCTTTTTCATCTGAACTGGAATATTACAGAGATATTATGACTAACCATGGCTACATCACCACTGCTGGGATGATAAAGTTTTATCAAAATTACCTTAACGTTTCAAAAGAAATTTATAACAAATTACATATTCTACGTCTCCCAAAACCTATCTATGACTAACTATCACTTACTTTAACTACCACATTGATGAGGAGTGTAGAAATAGAAGCTAGTTAACTGATCTGTATCAATTAAAATCCAGTTACAAAATGTAATGAAAACCTTCAGATTTACTTTATGTTTTTCAAATATACATTAAAATGGTCCTGGGAAAGTTAGTTTAAGTTAAAAGATATTTATTGCCAAATCTTGAACACAAGATTAGGTTTAATTCAATACTTGTACATCGTCTCCTTACATACATTACATAGACATAAAACTACAACACAACTAGTCTGTATCAGAGCAAACACCAGTTCCATTCAAGGTTTATGGTAGAGCGATAGTTATAGAAGAAAAAAAAGAATCTTTAAGTATCATTTTAACCTTTTGGAAAGTTAAAAGTTATGCATGTGAATCAAAGCAGAAAATTGCAGTAGAATTGTTGCAGTTATTTACCTTGAGTATACATGTACAGCACACTACAATATTAAAACCAAGCTGTCCATTAAGACATCATACTGAGGTTAAACACACATCTCTACAACAGTGTGTTCAGTTCAAAATTGTCATATGAAATGCACAGATGAGCAAAATTTTCACTCAGGTTTTTTTCTTGTTTGATGTATGTGTTACATTCACCATACAGTTTAAGAACTGACCTGAGTTCATTGATATCATCTTATTAGGCTGTAAACAGGTTTTCTGGATCCATTAAAGTAACACACAATGGACCTATTGATTTCATCAGACTATGAAATGGTTTCGTAATTTCTCTTACTCTCTAGACTAACTGATTTCATCAGATTGTGGACTGGTTCCCTTATTTCACCAACCTCACTGATTAACTGATTTCATCAGATTGTGGACTGGTTCCCTTATTTCACCAACCTCACTGATTAACTGATTTCATCAGATTGTGGACGGGTTCCCTTATTTCACCAGCCTCACTGATTAACTGATTTCATCAGATTGTGGACGGGTTCCCTTATTTCACCAGCCTCACTGATTAACTGATTTTATCAGATTGTGGACTGGTTCCCTTATTTCACCAACCTTACAGATCAACTGATTTCATCAGATTGTGGACAGGTTCCCTTATTTCACCAACCTTACAGATCAACTGATTTCATCAGATTGTGGACTGGTTCCCTTATTTCACCAACCTCACTGATTAACTGATTTCATCAGATTGTGGACTGGTTCCCTTATTTCACCAACCTCACTGATTAACTGATTTCATTACACTGTTAACTGTTTTCAAAGTTCAATAACATTTCCCATCTATTATTTCCTATAAGTGCTGATTCCATCCTGTTGTAAACCAATGCTCTCCCATAAACTAATAATACTAATGTTAACCAGACTTATTGAGTTCAGTATCTTATTAACATGTTGTTGTTAGGTCTTTAAATGAATGCTTCAATTGACAAGTCTTTTTAGAGCATTGCTGTGGTCTCAGCATCACCTAATCAGCAAGGATCTTAACATTAAGGATCTTCAATTGCCTTCCTTCCCTATCCCACACCCTTCTCCTCTCTATAAGATCAACTGACCTCTTGACCCCTTCATCCTTATTCATTCTTAAGTAACAGTGACCTAGTTAAAAGTCTAGGTCTGATTTGTCTCCCCTTAATGTTTCTTGGCTTCAACTCAGCTGTTTTACTCTCCCTGCTATTTAGGAGAGGCAGATGGCTCAATGAAACAATTACACTTAATTTTTTTTATGAGAACCATACTTGTTTTTTAACCTTGTACATGAAAAACTCCATGTGCTATTCATTTGAGGACTTATTTCATACAAAACAAGTGACTTGCACTCTATCATATCACACAAATATCTCTTAGTGAACTTGCGGTGGAAATCTTTAAATGTATATGATGCACCAGGCAAAAGGCCAAATATATTTGGACTGGAGTTAATTAGCAATTTGATATTTATTTTATTACACAACTAATTTCTAGCAAATGTTGATTTCATGTTTGACCTATGCTGTGGCAGTGGAAATGTTCTGCCTTTCATGTCTAAAACTTTTACCGATTTCTCGTTTCAGTTTTGATATAACTATTTCTCTGCTGAGACCTCCTGACTTGAGAATTAACTATTAATCATATCCACCTTGTGTATTTGCTATCTGCTGTGTCCAATAGATGGACAACACTTTACATTCACTCAAGAGACTATCCAGTATTTAAGAAGCAATTTGCTAAAATAGAAAGACATTTGCATTTTGAGATGGATCTAATGAAGTCTATGCTTTACCAGGTAAGATGAGACCAATCTTATCTTTATATATAACAAATTTGTTCTTGCAACCACGTTGCTTTTACAGGTTTATTAATGCCCATATATTCCATAGGATGTAAGTGCAGCTGATTGGTGGAGACAACAGACCAGTCCTGCCATCCCTCCTCCCTAACCCCAACTCCATATTGTCACTACAGCTGTTTGGTAAAGACAGACAAGCCCTGCCCCCATAGATACTTACAGTTTCCAGGAGCAGTTGGGTGGCTTCTCCATCCTGTATCCCAGCCGTAGAAGGCGGAGCAGGTCATGCATGTCCACTGTAGGGTAGGGCGTTCCTCCCAAGGTCACCAACTCAAATAGAACCACACCGAAAGACCAGCTGTGGATGACATTAACACGACACATTAGCGCCAATAAATCCATTCCTGTCAATATCATCATCTGATTCAATTATTCATAAAACATTTATTTAAACATATATTTAAATTACCAGATCTTTTTCTTTGATCTGTGAAAGACATGTCTGTGTTGCATGCATCGTCATTTGTTTTTGTTAAAGATATGTAAAAGAATAGTTGCTTAAAGTTTCTCAGTAATGCAGCAATGCATGCACATTCCTATAAGTGCAATTGTACCTACCAATTCACTCTCATCCTAATATATTGCTCTGTGAAACTTTGTATCGACCCATACACACCAAATAAGATATCATAGCATAAGACTATAGTAACAATAGCAATACAGATTTATGCTATATCGGTGAGGGTGGGGAAATTATATATCATTTTACACTCAAGTCAATTCTAATGGGTTTTTTTTCTGGATTTCTGAAAGATACAGAAAGCTTCAGTGGGAGGTCAATACAATCAACCAACAGTTCATCATCCAAACCTAGAAGTTTAAATCAGGAAGCACATTGCTGTTGACATTTTCCACATAACATTGGGAGGTCGTTGTAAAAGTGGGAAAGACAGCTGGCAGCCGGTAACCCACTTACTACTGATCTCACTGAAATAGTAAATAGAGCAGGTTTTTATGGATCATAAAAAACCGAAAGATTTTGATTAATTTATTCAATCTTAGGCCACGTCTAGACAGGCTTCTATAGCTGTTGTGTAATCATCATTATAACTCTGTATAGAGAGAAACTCTTCATAACCCTGAATATAGAGAAAATCTTCATAACCCTGAATATAGAGAAACTCTTCATAACCCTGAATATAGAGAAAATCTTCATAGCCCTGTATATAGAGAAAATCTTCATAGCCCTGTATATAGAGAAAATCTTCATAACCCTGAATATAGAGAAAATCTTCATAGCCCTGTATATAGAGAAAATCTTCATAGCCCTGTATATAGAGAAAGTCTCCATAACCCTGTATACAGAGAAAGTCTCAATAACCCTGTATATAGAGAAAGTCTCCATAACCCTGTATATAGAGAAAATCTTCATAGCCCTGTATATAGAGAAAATCTTCATAGCCCTGTTTATAGAGAAAATCTTCATAGCCCTGTATATAGAGAAAATCTTCATAGCCCTGTTTATAGAGAAAATCTTCATAGCCCCCTAACCCTGTATATATAGAGAAAATCTTCATAGCCCTGTATATAGAGAAAATCTTCATAGCCCTGTATATAGAGAAAATCTTCATAGCCCTGTTTATAGAGAAAGTCTCCATAACCCTGAATATAGAGAAAATCTTCATAGCCCTGTATATAGAGAAAATCTTCATAGCCCTGTATATAGAGAAAATCTTCATAGCCCTGTATATAGAGAAAGTCTCCATAACCCTGTGTCTACCCTGTCAACATCAGATGTATTACAAGTCTACCCTGTCAACATCTGATGTATTACAAGTCTACCCTGTCAACATCTGATGTAGAATAAGTCTACCCTGTCAACATCAGATGTATTACAAGTCTACCCTGTCAACATCTGATGTATTACAAGTCTACCCTGTCAACATCAGATGTATTACAAGTCTACCCTGTCAACATCTGATGTAGAATAAGTCTACCCTGTCAACATCTGATGTAGAATAAGTCTACCCTGTCAACATCTGATGTATTACAAGTCTACCCTGTCAACATCAGATGTATTACAAGTCTACCCTGTCAACATCTGATGCATTACAAGTCTACCCTGTCAACATCTGATGTAGAATAAGTCTACCCTGTCAACATCTGATGTAGAATAAGTCTACCCTGTCAACATCTGATGTATTACAAGTCTACCCTGTCAACATCAGATGTATTACAAGTCTACCCTGTCAACATCTGATGCATTACAAGTCTACACTGTCAACATCTGATGTAGAATAAGTCTACCCTGTCAACATCTGATGTATTATAAGTCTACCCTGTCAACATCTGATGTAGAATAAGTCTACCCTGTCAACATCTGATGTAGAATAAGTCTACCCTGTCAACATCTGATGTAGAATAAGTCTACCCTGTCAACATCAGATGTACTAATATCCTTTATAGATCAAACCTGCTATCATCACTAATTATTAGACATATAATTAAGAACAGTTTGTTGTGTGTTTTAATGAAAAATGAAGAAAGATAGAAAATACTGTCTACATGAGATGACAAGGCTTTGAGAGGGCAGGTTGAACATCAGAAGACAAACAGTGTGCCAAACAAACAGTAGTCTTGTGATTAGTATTGTAATTTGAACTACGATATCAGCTTCCCAAACTTATATCAGTATAAAATTATTGTATATAGCTACAGAAATAGAACTGCTATCATACAGCTGGAATATCCTTTGATGACTAATTCAATTACCAGTAATTTAGGTATGATTTTGACTGGATTGTGTGTTCCTAATGTGATTTCATAACTCTGATAAATTGGCAACAATTGCTTTCTTGTATCTTCCAGATAAGTAAAATGTTATTTACATACATGTATTTACTGAAATTACCTTCTTATACTCTAATGTATAATGAATGTTAAATATTTGCAGTATTTAACTTCCTTTTCTTTGTTCTTTGGAGGGTGGAGATTTGAGAAAGGACCATCCAGTACTATTCAAGAAATAGTGATAATAAACTTTCATTGTCAAAAGACATTTTTGTTTTCTGATCTGTAGCACCACCGGAGACCATTGGGATCCTACAAAGAAAATTTAGGAAAGATATTTTCTGTACTTTGTAACATGAGTGATGATAACAAAAAGTATCACCACTTATCAGGCATGTTCTTTTTCAGATCAGTCTCGAAATTAATCAATAGAGCACAAATAGGGACAAAAGTAACAAATTAAATTTGTAAATGATTCATTCAGTACTTTTCATGCAAAAACAGTGATGACAATTATCATTTAAGGAAAGAACATGGAACACAGACGCAGGACCATTTGAATAGCTCACCATCAAGGGACTACAAAAATGTATACTAAGATTAAGGTTAATACAGAAAATGATTTATTCACATGTACATTGTAGCAAATTCAACACTGTGGAAAAAATGAAGAACTTAATGTGAGGACAAATAATTCTTAGGATTTCAACCTTATAGCCTTCTATTGATATCGGTGTATTGACAATATTTTCATATGAGTCACAAACTGAGTCACTATATTAACTGAGTATATTTATACTGAAAATGATACCCTAGACTTTCTCAAATAGGACAGGAAAGGAGCACATGGCCAGGTGGGATGTCTATAAAAAGTACAGAACAAATAATGTGAAAAACAAACCCAGAAAACAGCGCACATTTCTCGAGTGTTTTATTTCTTACAACATTTTCTCTGACTTTTATAAGTTAACGGTGCATTAAGTTTGATTTAAGGTAGAAAAGTGGTCTTTTTGCAGTGATTAGAAGGAAATCAGTGCAGCTAGTTTGGACAGGAAAAGACGTACTCAGACAGACTGAATGGATTGCCATCCAGAAGGACCGTAAAATCTATTTTGGTGGTGATTTACACAGGTAACAAATGAATGGTTGGATGGAGTCCTCCTGATATACATAAGTCAACTGTTGGTTATAGCTACACACCAGGTCACACCAACAGCAAATGGAACATTTATATTGAGGAATGATCTCGTTCTTTAAAACATTTAAATTTTGTTAATGGTTCTTGTGTTCTCAGCTCAGTTTGAAGACACCAATATTAATCATGACCCTGCATTCACTGAAAGTTGAAAACTTCATAAAGAATTGATAAAAAACTATGATAAATTTCTCAAAATCCAAGATGGCCATTTGGTTCTTTCTTATTATAACTGCCAAATCAAAGATGTGTTGCTTGAGACCGAGGTAAAATATATGACATCTGAAAAAGACTAATTTTTGGAAAACAGCTGAAACTAATATATGGTAGGGACAGAAAGCAAGACGAAAAACAAAAAAACAAAAACAAAAAAAAACAAAAAAAATGTAAAGCATGCTTCACAGACTTGTCCCTAGCTTTGAAACTAATTTAAGGACTTATTGAGTCATACTACACAGACTTGTACTTAACTTTAAAACTGTTCTAAGGAATCACTGAGTCATACTACACAGACTTGTCCTTAACTTTAACACTGTTCTAAGGAATCACTGAGTCATACTACACAGACTTGTCCTTAACTTTGAAACTGTTCTAAGGAATTATTGAGTCATACTACACAGACTTGTCCTTAACTTTAACACTGTTCTAAGGAATGATTGAGTCATACTACACAGACTTGTCCTTAACTCTAAAACTGTTCTAAGGAATTATTGAGTCATACTACACAGACTTGTCCTAAACTTTAACATTGTTCTAAGGAATTATTGAGTCATACTACACAGACTTGTCCTAAACTTTAACATTGTTCTAAGGAATTATTGAGTCATACTACACAGACTTGTACTTAACTCTAAAACTGTTCTAAGGAATTATTGAGTCATACTACACAGACTTGTCCTAAACTTTAACACTGTTCTAAGGAATGATTGAGTCATACTACACAGACTTGTCCTTAACTCTGAAACTGTTCTAAGGAATTATTGAGTCATACTACACAGACTTGTCCTTAACTCTAAAACTGTTCTAAGGAATTATTGAGTCATACTACACAGACTTGTCCTAAACTTTAACACTGTTCTAAGGAATGATTGAGTCATACTACACAGACTTGTCCTAAACTTTAACACTGTTCTAAGGAATGATTGAGTCATACTACACAGACTTGTCCTTAACTCTAAAACTGTTCTAAGGAATTATTGAGTCATACTACACAGACTTGTCCTTAACTTTAACACTGTTCTGAGGAATGATTGAGTCATACTACACAGACTTGTCCTTAACTCTAAAACTGTTCTAAGGAATTATTGAGTCATACTACACAGACTTGTCCTAAACTTTAACACTGTTCTAAGGAATGATTGAGTCATACTACA